GTTTGTGTAAATTTTAAATCTGATGATGGTGCTGTTGTCTGGCCGAAACGTAATGAAATAAACGATATTCAAATTTTTTACTTGACATTTTGGCTGAGACCCAGGAAAGATTAGAATATAGTAATAAACAATTTTTAAAATTGATATTTAATGTCAATCTATGAATACGTTTGACTCTCTATTGCACCTTCTGTGCTGAATTTACAGAGAAATTCGTTTCCTAATCCGGTTTTTATGATATTGACAATCGTTCGCGGTATTCAACTACGAGTATAAACGGGTTATAATTTAATTAATCAATTTCCTATTCACTAATTCCGCTATATCTGTGTGGTTAATGCTAATAACGAATCCACCCCTATTCCTGGATTAGTTGCTCTAAGCTAACTAAAAAAGCAACTAACTCATTGTATCCTTGCATGAATTGCATCAGTTTAATTATGTTAAAGTTATGCCAGAGGAAAACAGATAGAACGAAACTACTGATAAATACCCCGAAAGTTTATAAAACCAAACTTCTTTTCTTTATTTGAATCGAAAAGGACCATTTTTGACGCGAAAAACTTTTCTTCTACGAAAAATTTAAAGCAAAACTTTCTTGACTTTCATTTTTGTGCAGAGTCTAGACTCATTTCACACATAAAAACCGGGCGCTGGCTGACTGCTTAAACTTTTAAAAGCAACAGACACTTTTCCGACTTTTGAAAAAGCATTTTACTCAACTCCTTTAAGTCGTGCCCACATAACTCCCATAAACGGTAAACTTCCTTTCACGCCTGAGATTTCTTAGCGGTTTCGCTTCAAGCCAATGAAAAATATTTTGTTATGAAAGCATCCAAGTAAACAGCCCGGTAAAGCAAATATCGTGTCGTTTGGAAAGCCATTGACACACCGCAAGGCTGCAAAAATCCCCCTAGACAATTAAAATGCACCGTTGAAGCCAATAGAATCGGCTAAGGATCAAACAAATACAGTCTGATACGTGAGAAGTTTCACGGGTTTGACTCACAAGGATTTTACGTTAATGCTTCGGATGATTAAACTGAATAAAAAGCGACTCGGATAGTATAATTAATGGAATTAAACGTAACAGAGTCTGAATGGTTTTTTTGATCATTCACAATTCACGTTCAATAGTAAAAATCACTAAAGCTAAAACACTTTCAGTCGTCGACAGATGGAGAAAATCCGATTTTCCGTTTTCATCGGTTGAAGGAATGATTTTGCCAGTTGACACAACACAGGAAAACCAGGGAAAATGTTTGCTGTTTGTTAACTGTTTGATTTTTAATGTGTAAAATGACGTGCCCTCAAAGCTTCCAAAAATCCAAATCCTCAAAGCTTCCAAATATTATGCACATGCCATAAAAGGCTTCAATCTAAAAAGTATTTTCGCGTTGCTTCTGATAAATACATAAAGAGTTCACATTTAGAAATGTCTTCCGGGCTTTGAAGCCGTGGTCCATGGGAATTTCTTCCTGACGTTTCGTCTACAACTGCGGTGGACATTATCAAAGGCGATGAGGCAGTGGGCGAAGTGATCTCCCGTGTTTTCCGACTAAGACTGGTTCAACTACTGGATCCAGTAGCGCACCTTCGGGATTTAGACAATGATGGAGAAAGGTTTTCCTTGATGTTTCGCCAGCACAAGTGGCTGGCATCTTCAGAGGTGGGTTGCTCAACGCAGCAATCACCTCTGAAGATGTCAAGCCATTCGCGCTTGTAAAACGTTAGGAAGACATTTTTTTCACTGAAGAAATATCGACCATTCACTCCAGATACACAAACAGACTATCAATTCATTTGCATATACTAGCAACGGATCTGCGGACAAACAACAGAACCGAATTGATTGAACCCGATTAAAGAGATATAAATGCTGAAGAAGAGAAGAAGACGCTTTATTTAATTTTCTACCTTTAATAATCCACTTATCTCGGCATAGTTAAACCTTTTCAAATTTATCTTCTCTTCATTCGGTGAGACTCTCACATGTTACCTACTTCTGGCAAATATCAATGTAAATATGTATATAAAATTTACTTGGTGTATCAGGAAACATTGTAAATATACAAGACAAAAGTAAATTTAGACAACTGCTTCCAATGCAATTCTATATGTATATGCATTGTTACAGATAATGCAACTAGAAGCAAAACCTGGTATAAATCAACTGATTATGCGACGGCTGCAGAACAACCAACACAGAACGATAAATCAGATTATGGCTCACCATCTAACGACAGTTCAAACGATAGCATGAATTTATCATCCGAAATAAACGAAAAACCTAAACTTAATGACGAAGATGTGAAAAGAGTGTATGAAATGTATAAAAATTGTAAGAATGGAACAACTATGCGAAACGAAAACCTACGAAATGTAATTAAAATTCGCCGACAAAAATGTGTTTCGGAAAATATAGAACTGAATCAGGCACAATTTATGAATTATTTGACTTTAATGAAAGCGTACTCTAAGGATTTTGAAAAAATATTTTCTGAAGAAAAATTTGACCACAATCGCGGAAGTCCCATACTCGGACCGAAGAAAAAAAGTCGTCGGACTAGGCTTCGATCGATGTTTACAATTGGGTGAGTAGTATTATTTGCTATTATAACATTTCATGTGACAGTTACTGACTTGTTTTGGCTGGCAATGAAATCCTCAGAAAATCGAGCTAACTGACAACTAATTGTATGAAAAAAGCCTTTTGCATTAGAACTTGTATGTGATACAAGTAGGGATGGTCAGAATTTAAAGTAACCGCTAAAATAACAGTGTGCCATACGTGTAACCTGAACCGCAGTTACAGTTTACCAATTTAGCCGGTTGTTTTTGGAACCGTCTTATAAACCTGAAAAAGTGATTCGTACCAGCACAGAACCGAGCAGCAGCAGTTTCAGTAACCGTTTGTCAACGGAAAATATGTTTAGTTGCGCGTTGCGTTGATGACTGTGACGATCACCTTCTGTCTATAAGAATCACTGTTCAGTTCTTCAGGAACTATAATCGGTCAAATCAGCAAAATGTTGTTTAGTTTCGGTGAAGATATAATTCAGATTTTTTAGTCTATAAGTATTACTGTTAATATGTTGTGGTTGATTAGTGATCGTGATGATAATCAGTAATTAATTCTTCAACGGATGGTGGCAAAATAAAACACTACTTGTTCATGGGTCAACGTTTCGACTTTATTCAAGTCATCCTCAGGGCTCTAGAGGGGAAAACAGAGCGGTTTTAGCCAATTTAGCCTGGTGAAGTTTCAACACTAAGTGTGTGACATTGTTATAGTCTGCATATCCACATTTCTTAGATGTGGTGCAAAGCAACATACCGATTGAAAATTAAACAGACCCCTGGGGCAATCCATTGTTGAGGATTCTTTTTGTACTGCATTGCTTATTTTTGTACACAATAAATTGTCTGTTTGCGAGCATGTTATTTATGAGGTTCGTTGTTTTGCAGTAAGATTGACAATTGTTGAGGGCACGGGCCTGATCATAGCATCTTCTATTTGGGCGGAAGCCTGTCTGTTCGACGGAATGACATTTAAAATTGTGTGTCTTATTCAAAGTCTTGCCAGCCCTTATATGATTCACTAAGTAATGCGATAGGACGGTAGCTACTTGGACATATGGTCTGGTTTTCCCGGTTGTAGGGTGCGACAATTTTTCCTGATTTAAACTGGGGGCAGAGTGTCTGATTGCAAAATGTTAACCTTTGCAGCCACTTTCTAACATTTGGGTCGGCATTGACATTGAATTTATTGTGTATCAAATCCCGGAGCTTTTCCCATTTTCATGCTTCCAATAATTTTGTTTATTTCGTCTATATATTCGCACTTGACACGGCGAGAGTGTTCCTTAACTGTGGGTGGTCTTGCTGAGTGGACTATACGCTCAGAAATTTTGTTGGGCGATAATATTGCCTTGGGTTTTGTGACGGCGGTGCTGCCACCAAGTTTCCTTAAAAGGGTCCAGGCTTTGCGGCTTGAATGTTTAAAATCCATACCCTCCACTTTTTGCGCCATTTCTGCAACCTTCCATTGTTCAGACTCGATCAGTTCATCGGCGATCTCTCTATTGCCAGACTCAACAAAATTCTTCTTACAGTTTCTCGCTGTCTCTCGGTGTATGTATCGTACTCACAGCAATGACCGCCCCAACAAATCAACAGTTCACAGGGGTTGCTGGGCCTGACACATTTGTCCAGGTCTTTAGAAAATGATGCCCACTTGGCCCGACCGGAATTCTATCGGTGGCGGGCAGCGGATTTTATAATGGGTATTTAATGGCTCAACTTCAGCCGAATCGGGCGATGTTGGGTGTGTGGGAAATCCGCCATTTCTTTTCTGGAGATATCGAGAAGCCTACCACATTCATCAGGAGACATAGCTCAGGGCTATATTCTCGTCTCCTTCTGGCAGAGTGGATGGATTTTCTGCCCTTAGCCCCCTGCACATATTACTCTGAAAGTATGTGGCTCTTAAAGTCACCAGCAGATATCGGCAAAGAATTGGTTTGCCACTGGGTGTTTGGTGGTTTGTACCTTGATTTTCCCTATGTCAATTATTATTTGATGGATGCTATTGACCGCGTTGGCAGAAATTAACTTCACGTTCTCTACGCGGATCTGTCGTAGGTTACTATACCGTGGGCATGATGGTAGGTGACCCCAATGATGGTTAAGCCGTGAATTATTCCTCTCGTTTTCATGTTGCAATATGTGTTTCTTGGACGATTGCTATATCAGCGTTCTGGTTCAAAAAAATTCTTGAAATACATTGGTTTTGGTACTTCTGGTGGACCCTTCTATATTTAACTGTCAATTGGCACTGAAAAGATAATTTTGCATCGTTTGTGATAATTTAGCGCTACCCAGGGTGCACCACGAGGTGGCAATATTTTGTCAATACTACCATGTTCCTCATTTGCATTTTTTTGCGCAAGCAAGCACATCTAGGGAAGATTTACATTTTTACTAATTTTGTAATAAGAATGTAATTGGTATCCAAGAATCTATTCATATCTAACAGTACCTATGATACAGGTGTATCTAAAAAAATGATGATTAATAAATATGGCAGAAACATTAGTGTTTAACAAGTAATTAAAAAATACGTTTTTTTTTTGTTGAAGAAAAAAAAAGTTCTGATCATGTCAAATTCTTGAAAAATTGAATAATCTTCTTCTTGTCTCTCGTTTAACTGAACTTCCTCTGATTGATGAGGCACCACTATTTTCAATAGCGATTCAATTGAAACTAGTGGGTTTTTCGGTTTTTTTCGTCGTCGTAAAAATGAATTCCTTCCTGACGTTCCGCAAGCACGAGTGGCTTGCATCCTCTGAGGTGGCTTGCTTGAATGCTTACACTATTTAGATGCGATTTCTCGGGCTCAAAAAACTGCAGAGGATTACAAACATTGTCGTTCTGCCAGCTGACAACGGCAACGCTACGGTCATCATAAGCAGAGAGGAGTACGAGCAGAAAATCCAAAACTTACTGCACCCAGTCGCTTACACGAAGCTCAAGAAAGACCCGACTCAAGCTAAGTTCAGGAACATCAACCGCCTGATTAAAATATCCTCAATAGACGAGAACATCATGAAGAGGATCATTAAGTGAGAATCCCTGCCCCCACGTTTGTATGGATTACGGAAGGTTTACAAGGACGGAATACCACACCACACAAATCGTCAGTGTCCCGGGATTACTAACTTACGATATAGCTAAATATATATCTTCTCTTCTGTAGCAGCCCTTGGGGTCCACAGAAATATACATCAAAGACTCCGAACATTTTATCAGTAAGATCAAAAACCTCAGACTGGAACCTAAGGACACGCTGGCCAGTTTTGATGTGGTGCCAGATCGGTAGAATTTAAATCCCCATATGGTCACTTAAAAAATCTCTACTTTCCCCAAGCTTTTCTAAAAAAAAGTGAAAATAAAAATATTCGGTGAAACAAAAAAGGTTATTGGAAAGGATATATTACAAAATTTTAAAAATGGAAATTAAAATTTCGCATCTTACATACGTGGTAGGAATGTAGCCGTTCCTCGGTATATATTTGGTGCCTGAGAGTGCTAGTTGTTGTGCAATGCTCTGAGTACCCCTGGAAGGCTCTGCTGCAATTATCTCCAATACCTGTTCCCCTGTGTCTGAAACCCGAGCAGCTATTCTCGTCCACTATCTGCCTGGAGCTAATCTTCCAGTGCCTCTAGCACTTTGTTGGCTTAAGTTCTTACAGCTTCTTCTAACTTAATGTGGCATTCCCCCATAACTCATAGCATATCCGCATATTCAATATTAGTGTACATTTTGTGAAAGAAGCTTCAAAGTTAGTCACAATTTGACAAATTTTCGTTATTTTTGACAAAAACCATGTACCTGTAACTATCAGATAATGACAAAAAACATTATTGCCTCTTTAACTTTTTATCAAAAAATTATAGAACTTTTTTAATGTAAATTTTTTTGGTAATTTGAAACCAAGATCACAATTTTTCTTTTTGAATGCTTGAGTATTTCAATAGGCTACCAATTCAGCATGGGACCATTTTAAAATAAAGCTTAAGAACATTCGATTCGAGGTCATTCGATTTTTAACTTTTAGCGCCGGTTGCACAATCCAAGTTCACCGACAGTTCAGCGGTGAACAAAAGAAAAATATATTTTAATGCTTATACGCTTCAATCAATTTAGTATCAAACCATGTGGATCAACGACAAGAAATAATTCCCCTTGTCTCTGATGTGGATGTGGTTGAGTTCAAATATGCTGGATTGACAACATAGTTGCCAATAAAAGAAAACCAAATAGACCACATTCTACCGACATTGGGAAGGAAAAAATTGAATAGTGGAGTTTAACCGAACCGAGCTCGGATCGGCGCGGTACAACCCGTGAAAATTGAACTCCGGTTCACCGGTGACTGATGGTTTAGTTGAATCATCGTTGAGCTTGCTTTTGTGCAACCGGGCCTTAATATCTTCTAGAAATTTTTGAAAACGATTTTTGCATTTTTTCTAAGCTCCAAGTGAGCCCCTATTACCCCTAAAAAAAATGACGCCAATTTTGAATCACCCTGTATTTTTCGTTGACAAATGGTTATTGGATAGATGGCTCGACAGTGTCCCATCGGTTCTGTGCTGGTGCATGCCAGTTTTTCGGTTTTATGAGACGGTTCCAACAATAACTGATCAAATCGGCTTATTTACTACATGCTTGGAACACTCTTATTTTAGCGGTTAAGTTAAATATCTACTATTCCTACGCCCTATCAGTGAACTTATTACTTCTACAGAGATCATCCGAAGAGGTGTCGCATGTTGAAAGAAAGACGGGATAATCTGAGCCGTAAGAGGTTCCATTTCCACTTTTATGTATTATAACATAAAATCAATTTATGTGTGTAATAATATTAATTTAATACACCAAATAATAAATCAAATCAATATCAAAATAATAAAATCAATTTAATAAATCTCCTGGTAGTTAAAAACTGAAAACTTGACCCATGGCTAGGCCGATCTCATTTTTGGTCTGTATGTGTCGTTTTCATTCAACTATGCCAGACGGACACTGCTAATTTAGTTTTGCGAAATGTCGTAATTGACGGTTGAGTATTAATTTCTGTTTAAAAAGTTTTTAGGCAATTTTTATCACGAAATCAATTTAATTGCTTCCAATTTTTAAGACGTTATGAATGAAACGGACCACCTCCTTATTTATCTTCCACAGTTCTTCAAGTAAGAGCGACGACGAGGAAATAGATATGTCTTCAAAAACACTGAACAAGAAATCATCGTCTATTGATAGTATATCCAGTTTATTGAGCTACCTTATGCCAAAACGAATGCAGAACTCCAAGACATCAGATATTGGCAATAAACTGAAGTCAGATGAAAGCGGCTATGGTAGCGATGCAAACCAAGCAAATGCAATGGAATCTCCGATGGGATCTATTAAGTCTGAATTTAGTCAGGTAAGTATCGTCACTTATTTAAAATTAGATTGCATGCGATAATGCGGCTTGATTGAAAATTGGCGCCCTGCTTTCTAATCGGTTACTGACACGTACTTGGAGAGCATAGGAAAAGTTATTTAAAAAACTGTTAGTTTATTTTTCAAACACGTTAGCTTTTGGAGATGCGATTTGAGCGTTGTTCCTAAGCAACGTTTGTAAATCTCTCTCATTCTGTAGTCCATTGGCGGAGTAAAAGTACATATAATTCCACTTCTACGTGAGGAGTACGCCGGTTCTACGGTGAGAAAGTGAAGTTTTAGAAGGAAGTTACGTGAACCGCAAGGAATGCAAAACAGCTAATGCTAAACCACTCAGACTCCTGCAGTGGGCAACAATTGACTGAAGAAGAGGAAGAAGAAATCAAGCGCACAGTTCTGTTATGGTTAATTTCTGTCTAGCCTGCGTTATATTATTCGTTAAATAATATTTCTAAATTAGTAAATTGAACCTCAACTACTTGCTACCAACAAAACTTCGTCAAAAATGAGAAGTCGCTCATTTAAAGTTTTCTCTGGAGAATGTTTTGCTAGCTTACTTCCAAGAATTATCATGTAAGATGAAAAACCTTCTTCGATGTGCTCCTGTAATTCTGCGTTACGAACAACAACGTTCATCACAATATAAACATGACAACTTATGCCAAATTACTAGAACCCTACTAAAAAGAAAGATTTAAGGTTTAACTGCAAATTACATTAAAACTGTTTTGATAAGGTGTCTTCAAATTTTGACACTTATTTATTAACTTCCACAGCCACCTTACAAAATGTAACAACTTTTTTCAATTTTTTAAATAAAATAAATTATAATTTGAAAACGGTTGATTTCACAGCTGAAAGTGTAAATTCAAATTTGTAACTTTGTAAATTGTCTATTTATAATTGTCATTTGTGACGTATTAATATTCAGATCCTTTCATTTGAAAAGTTATATTGCTTTAAAAAGTTTTAGATTGAAGTCCACATTGTTAACACCCTGTACAATGTATTGATATTTTGGTTCGATAGAATTCTTAACGGATCTGTGGTGATTGGAAAGACGTATTTTTTGTATCTTTAACTGATTTTTTTGCTTCTTCAATTAATTTTTGATACCATGTTCTTAAGCAAAATTTTACAAAATTTTTTTAAAACAATTTACGGTGCATATGCAGCTTTTCAAGCTGCATTCCATGAGCTAATGAAAAATGGGTAGTTCTATTTAAAAAAAATACACTTTGATCTTGCCTCGCTTTTCTGAGACACTCGTATCATATAAGATATTTTTAAAATGTGCGCCCTTTGTCCGTCAACAACTTTTATATGAAATCATTTTTCGAAAGTTCAACACTATTGCAAATAATGGACTCTATCGCACTAAAAAACCACCCTGTATGTATATCACTTTCCGAAAAATCAGCTGAAGAAGATGCTACTATTTTTATTCAAATTAAAAAATACATATCTTCGGATTCCCATAAACTGCAAATGCAAAAGTGAAGTGAATGCGCACAGTGCGTATTTAATCCACACAAGTGCTTATCCAGTTCTTATGGGCTCGCAACTTGACATTTGAATATTTTGAAGGAGTCGAAAATATTGCTTTTCGAAGCTCGGACTGTTATGGATAACGACGCGCGATCCGTCTACGGTCCGTTGCAAGCTGCTTATGACCGGTATGACAAAGATTGAAGTTAATATATATAATCAGATACTTTTTGAACTGCATATGCCCGGCTGGGGATTTGAACTTGGACCTCCAGGTTGCTAGTCTGTTGGTCCGACCGCGAGGCCACCATGCAACTTTATTTTCTTCTTCTTACCCTAAAGATGTGCGCAGTATTGCCGCTGTCTAATTTGTGATCGAGGCTAGACCTTTTTAGTTATAATGTTGCGGTTCATTACACAATGAATAAAATAATATAATAAGGAAGATTTTTGAAAACTTTCGGTTGATCGACTTCTAACGAATTCTAGGGGAAGCAATGCTTCCCTTGCTTCCATAAACCGCACGCTCCTGACAAACTAGATAAGTATATATGGAATTTCTTCTACTTGAATTAATCCCGGCAGTTGTGTTTTCCCTAATCCATTAGGGCCAATATTTCCTAGCGAAGAACTAAATTTCCAGCAAACTGGTACTCCTCCACTTACGCTCCTATTGTGCGTACATGAATGGAAAGTAGAGGACCTTTTGAATGGCCTCTATATATCCAAACCTAACGCTGAAAGATTTATTTTTGTGGAGCGTGGAGATTGGTACCCTCGACTTACGAAAAAACGATACTTTTCGCCCTTGTATCGACAACTACTATTTGAATATTATTTGATTCTATCACGTAGAAGAAAAAAAACCGGAGTACTTTTACGGTTATGAAATTGAAAGTACCCTGTTGGAGGAATTATAACAAAGCAAAAAAATTGCATATGCAATATTCAAAAAGTAATTAATTAATATTTTGTTTAGACAAGCTACAGAGTTGATACCGATGTGGAAACTGAAAAGAACTCAGAAAATTACGTGAACCCTCGATGTGAGTCCAGCGACGATACGGATACTTCCGAAGACGACTTGGAATTGGAAACAACATACACATTTAGGTAAACATTTTTGACTGGTATCATATATGTTAACAGGCGCAACAACTGATAAGCGACTACATTTCACTTAGTATTTTCATTAGCATTTCACTCTCTAGTCAGGTCAGGTTCAAGTCTCTAGTCAGGTATCTTGATCTAGAATTGAAAATGTTTCACATAATTTTTTTTAGTAAGTTTTATGGTCGAAGTCCCACAAAACCATGTACAAAGAAACGTTCTGGCTCTAAATCTCGAGATGACGAAAATTTGACGCGAAGATTTAAGTTTACTGAAAATGGAAAATCCGATGTGGATGCTAATCAATGCTGCCATGGATTAAATGACTTATCTATTGATGGTCCTTTCATCAATGTCCATCAAAGCAATCCGGGAAATAACTGCAAGACCGACAAATATTCAGAAAAAAAAAACAAGAATATGCAACTTAATGGAAGGGCCAACGAAATGCTCGGCATTCGAGTATTACCACGTTCTGATTCAACCAAACATGGGGCTTATTTCATATCAGAAATGGTTCCCAACTCTGCTGCCCGCAGGTAAGCTATAATTTTCCGCCAGATTTGAAAATAGCTAATTTTGAACATTGTCACTAAATATGCAATATATGGTTGAAGTTGAAGGACTCGTAGTAACAAAAAATGAAAAATACTTACGTACTTATTTGCAGACGGAATTTAATCTGATTTTATCAAGTAGGCCTCGGGTGTATATGTCATGATAGTATACAGGTTGACCTAAATTAAGTGTCATTGTATGCTTTTTTATTATTAAAAGCACAAATTAACAAACTTGCGGTATTTTAACGCTTATTAGAAGAGTACAAAAAGCCAAAAGCATTCGAGAAACAAGCACAGAAAATATTATATTTTTGCCTGTTTTAACTTTTTTTAATGTAAAAAGGTTATAATAGTTTGTCTCTACATAAAAAATTTGGCAAGTTAACAATCGACGGCCGAGACTGTGTTTTTAAAATATATTTATATAATTATAACAAAGTTTGACTGTTAACAACAAAACTTATGTTCCTCCGTGGTGGTTTTCAGCTGACTGACTGACTGCCTTGACTGACTTAAGCAACTGACCCTCAATGTAATAAAACTCCAACGTTAATTAACTAAAAAAATACACCTGTTTACAGACCAGAAAATCTAATAATATTTTACTATTAGCAATTAATGTTATATCGTCGTTATATCGAGTCGAAGGAGCGACACTTCACTGGTTTAATAAGGCTGATATAAATAACTATTGACTGTGAATATTTTCTCAATGGGTATTCCAATATGAAAATTTTTTTGTCATATCGTAGTTCTATCCTCGGATGAAATTTAAATTATGAGATAAGGTTGTTTGGAAGACAAATCGTATTTTTGCCGATATAAACTTTAATATTTAGCGTTATAATTCGCGTGTGAACTTTCAACGAGTGTCCAACCCCCGAGGGAAGAAGGTGATTATCCCGGTGGCGTACGAGTAAGGTGGGAGAGACCACCCACGATGAATGGTCTCGGCTCTACCACTGTTGACCACAACAGCAGTAATTCTAATCAAATCAACGCACAATTTATTGTACAAAACTCAACAAAAACCAGCTCCTATTAAACCGCAGCAAAATCTGTACCTAAAGATGTATTTCCAAAGAACGAACAGGCAATTGTTTATCATCCAGAAGATAACCTCAAGTTGTTTGAGTATGTTAGAGATGTAGGCGATCTAATAGGACCTAAAAACATTACATTTGCGTCAAAAATTTCCAATAGCAGAATTTGCATTTATTTATCGAGCATACTCTTAGATCATCTAGTTTTGGCGCATCCAATTATTTATATTGGAACTTTTCAAATTCCTGTCCCCAGATTTGTCTACCCTACAAAAAGAATAATAATTTCAAAAATAAGCTCCTAATATACCACATGATGTTGCAGAAACAGCTGTCAAGAACTTAGGATATAATTTAGCAACTCCTGTTTCTTTCTTAAAACCGGTATACCGGGAGATGAATATGGTCACATACTAAGTTTTGGAAGACAAGTTTATGCTTTCCACCCATAGAATTTTTTGAATTAGACATCAATAATATTACCATATGAAGGAAATGACCACAATGTGTTTCCATCAACAGACAAAATAGAATACTTTATCTGTAAGCAAACAGGTCAATCAATATTTATTGACTTCCATAGCCACCTTACAAAATGTAGCAAATGAAATTTTTATATAAAATAAATTATAATTTGAAAACGGTTAATTTCACCGCTTAAAGTGTAAATGCAAATTTGTAACTTTGGAAATTGTCTATCTAATGACGTATTAATTAATATACAGGTACTTCCATTTGAAAAACAAGTTATATTGCGTTAAAAAGTTTCAGATTGAAGTTCACATTGTTAACACCCTGTACAATGTATTGATATTTTGGTTCAATAAAATTCTTAACGGATCTGTGGTGATTGGAAAGACGTATTTTTTTGTATCTCTAATTGCTTTTTTTGCTTCTACAATGAATTTTTAGATACCATGTTTGTAAGCAAAATTTTACTTAAATGGCGATAATCTGCCAACGTCGCAAGTGAGAAAGAAACAATTTACGGTGCATATGCAGCATTTCAAGCTGCATTCCGTGAGCTAATAAAAATGGGTAGTTCTATTTAAAAAAATACACTTTGATCGTGCCTCGCTTTTCTGAGACACTCTGTGTAATATGAGATATTTTTAAAATATGCGCATTTTGTGCGTCAACAACTTTTATATAAAACCATTTTTCGAAAATTCAACACCATCGGAAACAATGGACTCTATCGCACTAAAAAACACCCTGTATGTCCCGTTTACGTCGGTTCAACTCACTGGTTTTCCAGCGTAACTAACTGCATTTTATTAAAGGTATTGAGACTAATTTCATGACTAGTGTTACTGCCAGTAAATTAATGAGGAATGAGAACTGCCTGGCTTTTTTGCCATACATTTAGTCTGGTGATGACTTCGTTAGTTATTTTTGAGTAACTTAGTCGTAAGTAGTGTAGGGGCGTTCGTTTATACTTAGAACAAGTAAACATCAACCACTATAAAAACATATATTTACCCTCCCAAACTGTAGACAATGTGTAATGGCAGTTCGTCAGGTGGTCGATCGAGAGAATACATCTGAAATCAATTTAGAAAAAGTAATTGAGTAACCAGTTCAACAAGAATTAGATTTATGTTATTATTATGAGAATCATTAAAACATGTCAGAATCAGCTACAAGCGCCAAACGTGCCTCAAACAATGAGCGACTCACCTAGAGTGCATCACTTGGAGTCAACAGTTATCTACCTATAACTTAATTTACAGTAGTAACTTTACTCTATCGGAGTATTATCAATCTATCTCTGAATCCCGCAAAACTACAACCGAAGTTGCATCCTGCCACTGCTAAGCTTAAGTTGTTAAAAGATATTAAGGGTACGGCGCACGAAATACCTCCCCAAGAAAAGCCCTGCTAATCCTGAATTGTTAATAGGTATTAAGGGTACGGCGCGCGAAATAACCCCCTAACATCATTACTCAAATGACTCAAAAACTTACTAAAGTACTGTTGTACGTCTACAGCCAGCACTAGGTACTTCTCTATGAACTTTTATGCTT